TAATAATAATAATAATAATAATAATAATAATAATAATAATAATAATAATAAAAACATTAGAACACCTGGCAATTCTGAGCTGCCCAGAGATCCTTCTGGTTATGGGCCAGCATAAAATGCAACAAATACATAAAGCCTCACAGCTTGCCTCACATACAGGACTTCGAATGCAGTGTGAGGTCACTGTCATTTCCCTTCCTCACACATCAAGTGGGCAGACTGCCATTTTTCTTTTCATAATCGAACCACATGTGTGTCACTCTATTTCTGTATACAGCTCTCTTTTGCATTTTTACACCTATCTAAAAATAAAAGGTGCAAATCTGCTTGTCATGATGGCGGAGAGAAGTGTGATCAATACAGCAGATGATTCGGGAAGTCTGGATAGAACCTCTGAAAAGGATCCAAGAGCTGTAAGAGCTGGTCTGTCCATCACACGTTCTCAGCAAAGCAGACATGGAATTCTCTTCCCCAGGCTGCAGTGATCTGAGCTATGGTGGTATGAACTATATTTCTGTTCTGAATAAAGTAATTTTGTCCAAATATGTTTCCGTACATAGCAATTAGTATGTGCACATCGAAAACCACTTCTGTTCTCCTTTCTGGTGAAGCACGTCCTCTTTTTTTTTTTGACAATTCGCAGGTGGGCACCCTACTTGCTCCCCAAAATAGTATTTTGACATGAACTAATGAGTTGTGGGTGGGAATGTTTATCTCCAAGCCAAACAAAAGTCACCTTCTGGCTTCAACTTCTCCTTCTCCTTCAGACCAGCATACACGAAGTGTGCAGGTCTATTTTTGGAAAGGTGTAATAGCTTTTAAAGTCAAACAACTGAAAAATGCTTCTTCCATGGCTGTAGCCGAGATTAAAATCTCTATTTACAGGGGTATATTCAGGGACAACAATCCTAAATGAGGGACAGAGCCAGAGATGAATAATGTAAAACAAGGTGCATGCACGATTCAGACACGCTGTAAGAGGTTCAGAGGAGGGCAGCGAGGGGACTGGGGACTGGGAACAAAGCCCTGCGAAGACAGGTTGAAAGAACTGGGCATGTTTAGCCCCAAGAAGAGAAGACTGAGGGGAGATAGGATGGCACTCTAGAAGTACCAGAAAGGCTGCCCCAAAGAGGAAGGTCAGGATGTTTTCTCAGCCGTCCCAGATTGCAGGACATGGAATAATGGGCTTAAGAACAATGAAGCCAGCTTCTGGCTGAATATTAGGAAGAACTTCCTGTTGGAGCAGTACGACAATGGACCCAATGACCTGGAGAGGCTGTGGGCTCTTCCATGCTAGCTAGAGGCATTCGGATGCAACTGGGCAGCCATCCGAGAGGGATGGTTTAACTGGGAGTCCTGCACTGAGCAGGGGTTGGACCTGATGGCCCTCTGGCCCCTTCCAATTCTACGATTCTAGGATTCCATGATGTTTTGCTTGCTATACCGTTTGTTTCGTTGCATTTTCAGATAAAATATTTTTTTTAAGTCCTTCCTCTCTCAAAAGTCCACCTAGTCCAGTAGGCTGCTTCCTGCCCCCAAGCCGATCAGATGTACCTGAAGAACACAACAGGGACCGCCTCTCCTGTTTCTATCCCCCAGCACCTGGGCATCAGGTGCAGGGCCTCTGGTGGACATGGTAGATCCACAACATGAGCACAACCGAGTGACTGATAACACTTCCTGTGGTTTTGATCAGGGGTCCTCAAACTTTTTCTAAAGGGAGCCAGTTGACAGGTGCCAGCGGTGGGCACGGGACGCCAAGGCAGTGCCAGCGCGGGGGGGGGGCAGGGGGGGCGTGCACGTGCGAGGCAAGGCAGGGACGCGGGGGGCGAGGGGCAAGGCGCCAGCTTGCTTGCGAGATCATTTTCTCTGATCGAGTCCAAAACGATCTCCCTGTAAGCAAGCTTCCGCCAGGCGTGCACCCGGTGATGGCAAAACTTGTGGGGCAGGCCGGTTAAATGGGCATGGTGGGCCGGATCCGTCCCACGGGCCTTAGTCTGAGGACCCCTGCTTTGGAGTGGGATGCAGGACACCTGGGTTCTAGGCCCAACTTGGCCATGAAGCTCACCGGGTGACTTTGGCCCAGTTACTGAGTCTCAGCCTAACCTACCTCAGAAGGCTGTTGTGAGGGTAAAAAAATGGAGAGGAAGAGGAGAAGAACAGCCATGAAATCCCCTTTCAGTTTCTTGCACTTACAAACCAAGGCAGGATGCTGATGTAATAAGAAAATTAAGAAATCTAAACCAGGGGCCAAAATCACATCTTGTAGAAGCAAGTTGCAGTCATTCCTCTCAACAGCTGTCCAGAAGACTGTCCAAAGTACTCCAAGATACAGTTCATGATGAATGGAAAGCCTGAACATCCAGAACATGAAGACAGACAAATCTTTACCAAAGGAGCTGCTCTGCTCGATCGCCTTCGTGAGCTGCATCTTCGCCGTAGGTGAAGGGTCTTGCTCCAGTGAAGACTCCTCTCTAAAGGTTTCCTCCAACAGCACTGGTGGCTGAGTGAAAATATAAGCAAATAAGCAGTTGCTAAGTAGACCCCCAAGTAGAGACAGTTATAAAGAAGAGAACAGACCAGCCCTGCAAAATCAGTGTAAATCAATAACCAGGACAATAGTGCAAGTGCAAATAAAAACATAACTGAAAAACAATACAAGCTGGAAAATGTTTATCCGTAATGCACAGAAATCTCTCTCCCATCTGCCTAGAATGAACACCACAAGAGCAGCCAGAACCAAAAATGCCAAGATCCTAGGAAAAGTGGTAGACCTTTGCCTGGTATTCAAAATCCGACAATGCTGGTGCCAGGCGAGCTTCCTTAGGGAGAGAATTCCAGAAATTCTGGGCTATCACAGAAAAGGCCTGTTTCTGAACTGTCTTCCCCTGCTGCCAAAAAAGCTTGTCTTGGAGGGGCACACCCAGAAGGGGAGTGTGGTGCAGTGGTTAAGAGCATGGGACTGGGACTCAGGTGACCTGGGTTCGAGTCCCCGCTCAGCCATGGAGCCAACTGGGTGACTTTGGGCCAGTCACAGACGTGCAGCCCCACCTACCTCACAGGGTTGTTGTTGTGGGAGAAGATGGAGGAGGAGATGTAAGCTGCCTTGAGCCCTTTGTAGGAAAAAGGCAGGATATAAATCAATCAATCAATAAATAAATAAATTATGTAGGTTTGCATAGTCCTTGAGGTATGTTAGTCCCAAATCACACAGAGCTTTTCAGGTGAAAATCAGCACTGAATTTGGCATGGAAACCTACTGGTAACCACTGCAGGTGACTCAGGACCGGATTTATACGTTCACATCATCTAGTCAGGAAGACAGAAATAATTTAAGACTCAAGCAGGTCCGCTCTGGGATTCTGAGGCTTCTTCTAGATGAAGAATGAATGGACCCACTTTTAAAACTCTGCACTGAACCTCAACTCGCTCATGTTATAGAAATGTTATAATAATAATAATAATGATGATGATGATGATGATGATGATGATGATGATGATGATGATGATGTTATTTGGAAGAAAAAGGCAGAAAGTTATCACAGGATGCTTCACCACAGACAGCTCTGAGCATTACTCACTAAAAGACATTCTTTGAGTTTTTAAAAATGTTTTTCAGGAAAGAACAGAACAGGAGAACCAGAGAGAAGCCACTGGAAAGTTACAAGAGGGTGACAGCAGTGTTTGCTTCCAGAGAGAAGGGTTCTGACAGCTACACGCGAGAAGCCGTCAGGCAAGTCTTCCATCGTTTCTTCTTTAAAGGGATTTCCACATGAAAGGGAAAAAAACAGGACAAACGCACTGGAGAGCCAGTGTGGGGTACTGGTTAGTGTTGCACTGGGGAGATCTGTCCTGGGTTCCGATGGCGAGCCTGTACCCCAAACCTCAGCCGGCCCTAGGCCATCATCTCCGACTCCCCAAAATGTGGGCCTTGCTTGGCCCGGATGAACTCCAGGCACCTTGTCCGTTTTAATTTAAACATGGCACCTTGGTTGTCTTTTCCTGGCCCCACCTGAGTGCTTTCCCAATGGGGAGATGCCCTCTGGGCCTGAGCATTGGGTCAAAGGACAACCGGACCACTGCTTGCATGTCCTTGGACCGACCCCTGCTAATACCCTCGTGCCCCCACGTAGGAGGCAGCTGGTGAACTTACGCTTTGTCGGCTGAACAACTCGGGCTGCACCCTCAGAGGATGTGGGCCCCCCAATTTGGGGGACTTGAGAAGCCAGGCAGGGGCGCTTCTCCCCTATTGCACCTTCCTTCTGGCTCCCTGCCCCACACTGGAAGCAATCGGGTGTCCCTTCTGCTGTATTCTTATCTCCCCAGTACACTTTGCCAAGCGTTGCTCTACACGGTTAGCCTAAACAGGCTACAAGTTTCCCATGTGAGCTTGTCTGGACTGACGCAGAGGTGGCTCCGTCGACTGTCTGTTCCAGAGGACTGGGGCCGACCCCTCATGCAAGCTGGTCGCCACATGCTAAAGCACTTGGGAATGCTAGCTAGCGTAGCTGTATTTTGTTGCCACAATCAGGCATCTCCTTGTAAGTAAACCTGGAAGATGGCACCATCGTTTCCTTGGGAACACAGAAATCCTTCACAGACACACACCCCGGCCAGGGCAGACACGGTCCCTTAGAGGTAAGAGGGTGCGATACAAACTGTAATGAATACACGGAGACGTTGCGGGGAGGAACAAGGTGCTGCAGCCGGCCCTGCCCGTGAGTTCGCTGAATGCCTCACCGTCAGCCCCACGACTCAGCCCCATAAAGGGTTTTCGGTCTGCTAAAAGCCAAACCCTTCTGGGGATGCTTTTGGGGGAGATCTGGGAAGGGAGGGATTTCCCAGACTGGCCAGGAAACCAGGCAACCATCTGCTGTCTTTCAGGGCTATCTTCTGAAGACCCCCGATGAAACCTCAGCACCAAAGGGCGTTGGGACAGAGAGTGCGGCACTCAGTTGCTCAGCCAGGGCAGGGATGCGTTCTCCAGCCACCACAAGCAGCATCAAATCTGATTGGCTGCACAGCGGTGTGATGTCATGAAGCTCATTCTGGGGTTCCTGATGGTCTAGGATCACAGAGCGAGGGGGGAAAGCAAATGCTATTAGAGGACCATCTGCAGTGTGTGAGACCACATGCTCTGTTCCTTGCCCCTTTTCCACCCTGAGCCTTTCCGGGGGTGATAATTTAGCCCAGCCCTGGTTGGCACGCTTACCGTTTGTCTCTGCCTCTCGGACTCACGGTGCCTCAGGAGGAACTCTTCTGCCAGGGCCACTGCCTGGGAGCAGCTGTCTGGGCCACCTTTCCTTACCCAGCTCTGCATGTCGTGTGGAAGGTTGCCCAGGAACTGCTCCAGAACCAGCAACTCCAACATCCGCTCCTTAGTGTGCCTCTCTGGCCTCAGCCACAGGCAGCAAAGCTCCTGGAGATGCTTGCAGATCTCTTCCGGCCCTTCAGACTCTTGGTAAAAAAAGCACCTGAAGTGCTGGCGCCAGAAGTCCAAGCTGACTGGTTTGTCATGCGAAACTGTCGCCCTTCCTTTGGCAGAGCTGCCCTGCCCTTCACGGGCATCTGGGGTCAGCCCGTACCCCGTAGGCTGCCGGCCGGCACCGCCTCCTTTCTCAAAGGCCTCGCTGCCCTCCGTGCCTTCCCTCGGCAATGGATGCCTCCATCTCAGCGGAGAAGCCTGCGCTGCCATCGGGGAGTCCTGCCACTGGTCTTCCCAAGGACCCTCACTGGGTTCCTGCTTAATCTGTGGTGAGGCAGCCCCAGGGAGGGACTGGAGAACGTGCCCATCGATTCTGCCTTCCTCTGTCCTCAGTCCTTGTTCGAGTCCGGATGGGCTGCGCTCCTCTGCTCTCGTTGCAGGTCGTGGCTTCCGGCCTGGAAAGGCAAGTCAGTCTTTGTCAGTTCCAAACTTACATTAACGAAAGAGCAACACGAGGGTGCAACTTTTGAGAACTTTGCGGCTGCTGTCAGGACAAGCCCACAAATGGCAAAACCCTTTGGCATCGGCCCCTTCGGACAGAATGCAAGGGGGATCTCTTTTCCTCGCCACCGTCGGCACGGCCCATGGAATCCACCACAAAACCAGGTGTTCTGTTTTTGGCTGCACTTAGGGGCCGAGGCCAAAGTGTTTTGGGCAGAGGGAAGAGGACCAGAGTGATGGTTCTGAGAACAGTTTTGAATGTGGGGATATTATTTGACCCGAGAGACGGCACGTCTGGTTCTCTCAGGGAAAAAGAACACCATGAGGTTGTTAGGCTGGGAGATAGTAGCCGGCCAGATGTCCTTAGAGTGCTTCATGGCTGAACTGGGCTTCCTGCTCCTGGATTGCTGCATCGTATGATCGCACTGGACAGTCCCCAGGAACAATTGTGCTGCCCTATACTGGACCAGCTGAAATTTATTTATTTATTTAGAGCATTTTTATGCCGCCCCCTTCGCAAAAAGCCTCGGGGCAGCATTCCCAGGCCAAATTCCCAGGCCATTTTCAAAGGTGGCCACTTTATAAATGATTATCCACACATTGCCTTTGAAAAAAGTCGGGAAATTTCAACTGGTTCAAAACAGGGTAGCAGTTGAAGTCCGGGCCCAATTCAAGATGCTTGTTTGACCTATAAAGCCCTAAATGGCTTGGGACCGAGGTACCTGAAAGAACGTCTCATTCCTTATACGCCCTCGTGGCCCTTAAGATCTGTGGGAGAAGCCCTGCTCTGGGAACCCTCCCTAAAGGAGGTAAAAAGGTTATCTGCTCAGAATAGGGCCTTCTCTGCGGTGATGCCCAGACTCTGGAATGTACTTTCCAGAGAGGTATGCCTGGCACCAAGCTTATACTCTTTTCTGCACCAGGTCAAAACCTTTTTATTTAAATGGCATTTTAAAATCAATAGCTTTTAATGTAGTCGCTCTTGTTTTGTTTTGTGATTTACTGTTTATTGTTTTATTATTACTGTTTTAATTCGTTTATTGGAGTTGTTGTTTTAAATTGTTTTTAAAGTACTGTAAGCCATCCTGAGATATTTATACAATAGGACTACATATAAAAGCTTTTAATTAATAAATAAAATTGTTAATGAAACAACTTCCACAGAGACGCTTGCCTGATGCATTTTGGAGCCAGGCAAAATCATTTCTCTTCTCCACCCATTTTAACAAATAATTTTAAGATGGTTTTATTAATTTTAAGGGGTTTGATAGATTATTAATGAGTGTCCTCTCATCTGTACAGGATTTATGATCATTGTTAAATTTTTATTACTGTTACTTATACTTATAATTGATGAATTTTACTGATTTTTGTATTTGGTTGTTTTAAGGTTGTTGAATTTTTGGTCTTGATTGCTGTACAACACCTAGAGAGCCTTTTGGATTACATGGAGGCGTATAAATATATTAATAAAGAAATGAAAATGAAAATTGGCCAGTGTGAGCATATCATAACTGTAACCTGTACCTTTCCATCTGCACTGGCTGCCAGTCCAGGACAGGGCCTGATTCGAAGTACTGGTATTAACATTCAAACTCCTAAATGGCTTTGGGACAGGTTACCTGAAACATTGTCTCCTCCCTTATATACCTGCCAGGACCCTAAGATTGTCCTCAGTGGTCCTTCTCTAGAAGCCCCTGCCAAAAAGTTGGTGTGGGGGTGTCAATGCTAAGAAGAGGCGCCAGTTATGGAACAAGCATCCTAGAGAATCTCGCTTGATGTCTAGGCTTTCTTTTTTCATAAAGATCCCCTTATGTTCCCAGAAATTGTAATTTCCATCTTTGTTTTAAAACCTTTACTGTATTTTAAATCCTTCCATTGTTCCTAAGTTTTATTTTGGCCTTTATTTCTATTTTATGCTGCAATTTTAAATTTCTATGTTTATGGTTTAATTGTTGTGAACCATCCAGAGAGTTTCAGTTATGGTGCAATAGAGAAGTCTAATCCATAAATATCCTAGATACTCATCAGAAACAGTGTCAGAGTAGCACAAAGAACTGAAGTACCACTCCCAAACAAGTTATTCATGCCCCCCACTCCTACCCACCCAGTGACAGATCCCCATGGTTGCTGGGAGGAAAAGCATCCTTTTCCATACAAATTAGCATCACGGGAACCTCAAGGTTTGTGGAAATACAGGGAGACCCTCCCCCCAAAAAAACAGTCCAGTGAAAACACAGCATATTCAGTGGGATATAGAATATATCGGGAGGGGTGGTGAGAAAATTGTGTGGGGGGAATTGCAACAAAGCAACTGGAATTCTGAACAGCAGCACTTCACGCTGCAACATTCTGTTGCAGGCCCTACTTGTACAGACCTACTGTCCTTTCATAAATCTATGATGTGGGACAAAGCTCCACCCTCGGCCCATGATAAGGCCCAGCCCTGCTTACATCCTCTCCTCTGCCTTGTCTCTGGTCGGCCGGCACTTCTGGAGAGCATCTCCACCTGCTGCCGTTTGCTGGCTCGCCTCCTCGCATGTCTCACCGAATCTGCTGCAAGTCTCCCAATTCTTTCCTCCTGGGTCTCGGCCGCTCGCCTTTTCGCCTTCCTTGCGGCATCGGCAGCACGCCTGGCACTTCTCTGCTCCTCGGTTTCTCTGGCCCGGGCCTCGCGCTTGCGCTTGGCTTCCGACATGTATAGTAATCTTCTGGTGTGTTTTCTGGGCATATTCCTCCCAGCAAGTCCACAGGAATGGAGCAATGAGTCCACGAGCAAACAAGGCTAGCTCTGCCAAAACGGAAAGGCAGAAAGCCAAATGTAGCTTAAGACCAGATTGGGGAAGGCTATCGCACTTCTGTTCCTTTGCCTTCTTCCCCGGTAGCCTTTTCCACAACACCCAGAATTCCCGCTCATATTGGCTATGCTGGCAAAGGGCTGATGGGAGTTAGTGCCCAAAACATCTGCTAGGCACCAAGTTTCCACAACCCTCCTTCTCTTGACCCCTGCCTCATCTCTTCTTCCAGTTAGAAGGTTGCTTTCCAGATGTTTGAAAGCACAGTTCCAAATGTTCCTGAGCCAGTGAACATTTCTGGCAGGGGCCTCTGGGAGCTGATGTCCCAAACATTTGGAGGCCTGTCTGCCACCCACGGGTTGCACCTCTCCTTCCTTGTTCTCCAGGACAGGCTTGGCTCTGGGGGTTGGTCCTCAGGAGCACATGCTCTGGCAGGCCATGCCAACCTCCTGGCCTTCAGCTCCCATTATTTATTTTTTATTTATTTTTCGATTTATATCCTGCCTTTTTCCTCAAAGGGCTCAAGGCAGCTTACATCATTCTCCTCCTCCATCTTATCCCCACAACAACAACCCTGTGAGGTAGGGTGGGCTGAGAGGCTGTGACTGGCCCAAAGTCACCCAGTTGGCTCCATGGCCGAGCGGGGACTCGAACCCAGATCGTCTGAGTCCCAGTCCCCTGCTCTGAACCACTGCACCACACATTAGCTTCCTCCAGCGTGCCCAGAGGTCAGTAATGCAGGGAGCTGTATTCAAAACCATCTGGAGGGGGAAGGCTGCACTTCTGACCCTCCGGCCATCCTCTAAATGTCTGCTTTGGCTACCAGAACCTGCCTGGCTTGGGGGCTCCTTTGCATGAGTATCAAGTCATGGGCTACCGTGATACTCACCAGTTTGACTTTCCCCACTGTTAATCAATCAAGCAATCAATCAAAGTATATATCTGGCCCATAGGCCTTTCCACAAATTAGTCCTTAAAATTATTATTAAAATTATTATTATAACCTTTATTACTAAGGCAAGGATTCCTACAATAAAATAGGGTTGTGAAATATGTGAAATAACAACTCAGAGTAAAACACCAAACAGCACATATGAAATGCTCATTTACTCAGAACTTACAACATTAAAAACCCAGTGCACAGACCACTGGTCTCCCAGGAGCATTTCCCAGTGATGCTGATCTCACCTTAATAGCTGCAGTCAAATATTTCGCTGCTTGCTCTGGTTCTACCTTATTTCTGCCAGGCAACAGGCGGGAAACATTAAACACCATTCCCCTTGCGGGTCAACCCAACGGGCCCCGATACTTTCCCCACTGCGTCTCTGCGGAGTCCCGAAAGTATAAAATGGTTCGGGGGTCACAGAGATTTTGTGGGGAGGTTAAAAGGGCCTGCAAGCGGGCGCCAGCAGGGCAGATGCAGCTCTGGCAGAAAAATCGGTTTTTTCGCCCACCTGGGAGGAAAAGAAGAGCGGAGCCCAACTTGGGGGGGGGGGCTGCTGCTGCTGCTGGGACGCCCCCTCCCAACCCTGCCAGTGAAGCTTCCTCTCCTCCCTTTCCTAAAATGCACCCTGCGCCCCCCAACCGTTTGCATCTGCCCCTGCGCCGGCTCTTTCTCACGCCCCGCGCCTCCGACCCGCTCCGCGCTGCCCGCCGACTCCCCAGGGTGCCCCCTCCCCTAGACCCCGCCCCCATACCTACCTTTGCTCTGAGCCCCCTCGCCTATCCGCCCGCTGCTCCTTCCTCCTCCTGCTCCGCCTCCTCCGGATTTTTGGCGGAGCAAGGCCAAACCACGTCTGCCATCTACTGGTTGTAAACTGCGGCCGCCACACATCCCGGGCAGGCGGGAGAAGCGAATCAAGCCGCGGGAAGTCGGAGGCAGAAGAGGGAAAAAGCAAGAAGACCAACTGGCTGTGAGATGGATCGACTCCCTAAAGGAAGCCGCAGCCTGGAGTTTGCAAGGCCAGGGCATTTCGGAGGGCTTTTCGACATATATAATATTCAATTTAGGCAAGATCGAGCGTAAATCCTACCTTTGCAAAACACAGACCTCCCAATTCAACCTCCCGACTTCACCCCTACCGGTGCCATCCTATGCGTGGTTAGCCAGCCGGACAGGCTGGGGGATGCCGCAGATTTGCGACAATAGATTCACGTGGCTCCCTCTTGGAAGAACTGCCCCCCAAAAGTCGACGTGCTGTTCAGGCAAGCAAGGGGTTAAGGCGAAGGAGCTGCAAGTCGCAGGGCGGAGAGGAAATCTGGGGGAAGGCAGAGGGGCAGGAGCTGCTTCCTGCTGGATCGCCTTTGTTAAGGGATGCGGAGAGGAGAGCGCCCCGCAACCTTTTGCATGCGCCCCCTGCGCAGCCTCGCTTTGGGGATCCACCAGCCTGAGAGGGGCGTCCAAAGAGGGTTTAGAAAAGAGATCCAGGCAGGGAATGATTCCAGAGGAGGACCGGCCGTGGCAAGCACAAAACAGCAACACATCTTGCGGCACTTAAAAGGCTGTGGCAGAAGATGGTCTTGGACCAGAGGGGCCACGCGTTTCACCCTGTGGGTGCCCGGGACCCCCAGAAGCACTCGCCATAAGAAAAGGGCTTTGCTTCTCAGGCACCACGAGCCACAGAGGGGGAGACGCTGGCTGCAGAGGAAATGGGTGAGGGGCGCAGGGGGAAATAGCGCAGCTTGTGTCGGGGAGCGTGAGACGGTCTCATATTCGGGCTGTGCTCAAAGGACGCCTGTGACCTGCGCAGGGAAGAGTCAGGTTGTGCCCAGCAGCCCCGCACAAGCTGTGGATTCTCATGCCTCAAGTGGGGATCCCAGGCGGGGGCGCATGGCTGGCTCACACATGGGCCCTGCCCTTCTCCCCACAGTCTGAGGTCCATGAAGTAATGGGCTATTTGTGGTACAGTCCTATCCTCGATGCTCCTAAATTTGGAGGAGCAGTGGAGGCAATCCTGCACATCAGCCAGACTTTGGCCATCTGGCAGAGACCCTTTGGAGGAGAGAAGGGACCTCCTAGCAGCCCCATCTTCTTCCCCACTGTCTCCTTCCCTCTCCCCACCCCCTCTCTGGGATCTATTTTGCAGCCTTGGAAGGGCAGCTGACACGCTTCTTTCTGCCCTGCCTGCGAGGGGTGGGGAGAGAAATCAGAATGCACCCCCACCTCCAAGCCTGGGGCTGTGTTTCCTGTCCTGGATCGGCAAATCAAAAGCATCTGTAGGATAGTGGCCATAGGATTGCTTTCATGTAGAGCCAGTGTGGTGTAGTGGTTAAGAGCATGGGATCGGGACTAAGGCGATCTGGGTTCTAGTCCCCGCTCAGCCATGGAGCCAACTGGGTGACTTTGGGCCAGTCACAGACTCTCAGCCCCACCTACCTCACAGGGTTGTTGTTGTGGGGATAAGATGGAGGAGGAGAATGATGTAAGCTGCCTTGAGCCCTTTGAGGAAAAAGGCAGGATATAAATCCAAAAATAAATAAATAAATAAATAAAATGTAGCTTTAAGACTGGCTTCTCCATTCCGGTGCCTTCTGGGTATTTCAGACTCGGTCTGCTGCTCTGGATGGACAGTGGGGGCTGTGGGAGCCCCCAAAGGACCACCCAGAATGCAGCAGGGGATCAAGGCACCGAGAAGCCAGCTGGCACACAGCCTAGCAAACTTCCATTCTATCTAGTAATCTTAAAAGAGGTATAATATCAGTGAATTCAGAATGTGCGACTGCATGGACTCTCTATACAGTGCTTTTTTGTAAAAAAAAAAAAAAAAAGGTGTCTGAACTCACCTCACCGTAACCACACACACCAATCCCAAGCCAAGCGGAGAGCAGCCTCACTATCTCACTAGCAGATAGCAGAGACCAGACACAAAAGCAGGCGCAGGCACTCTGTTAATGATGTTTGCTGCTGATCTGCCATGATTCAAAATCACTTCGTAAAATCCATTGGAAAAAAAAGGTGCCGTAACGCCGTTCCGGTGTGTTCTATGACAAAAAAAGCCATATATATATATAAACAGGAGCAATCATTTTGTTGTTCTAATGCATGGGTCCTCAAACTACGGCCCGCAGGACGGATCTGGCCCGCCCCGCCGCTGCTGCCCCCTGCCTCCCTCGCGCTGGAGGCGGTGGCTTGCTCGCTCAGAGATGGTTTTGGACTCTCTGGGAGATCTCCGAGTGAGCGAGTTGCTGCCGCGTGCGCCCAACGCCACCTCACATGCACCCTACGACACCTCACCGGCCCACGTGCCCAGGCCCCCCCTCCTCACCAGCCCGCACATGTAGCCGCCACCTTTCAACTGGCTCCCTATTGAAAAAGTTTGAGGACCCCTGTTCTAATGTATTGGGAATAGGAGCCATCTAAAGCAAACGTGGAAGATAAATTTGAGTTGCATTCTTCATACAACCGTGCCTGAAATGGATATAACAGATATAGAAATTATACTTAGCAACCATTAATTCTGACATGTCTCGTGAGCCACAACTATGGAGAAATTGATTTTATTCTTAACATTTCTACAATCTACCCTGACACTGTAATCCATTTCTGGGTCCTTTGTCCAAGTGGGACCTATAGTGCGGACTCTTAAGAAACCTGATTCTCATGCTGCGAAGGTGCATGTGAGGGGGAAGCGCCTACTGCCTTTTGTAAGCAAAAATCACTTGCAGTTTTGCCTTCCTTTGGCAACTTGTCTTCTGACAGCTATCAGAGGAGAAAAAAGTCAACAATAAACCTATTTGGAGCTTCTCTGGGTCAAAGGTGGGTCAAAGGTCAGAGGTTGATAGCTGCTGTCTGCTGTGGGGTTACTTGAGGTTTGTTTAACTGTCAAGCAGCCCAGCTGCCCAGGTTTGTATAGCACCCCAAACCATGGCAGTCTCCCGCTGCAGGGCTGAATATTCAAAGCAGCCACCTGGAGAGGCTCATGGGAGGCTGCTGTAATTGCGCAAACCGGCACAGCATGCAATCATATCTGGCCACATAAGGTATTATTTCTGAAGCAGAAGTCATCTTCTGGAGCATGATGCCAAAACTGCTGTTAAGCAAACCATAACCCACAAGCCTCTATCACTCTGAAATTTGGTGTTATATGAATACCAGACCAAGTTTGTTACCTTTCAATAAAGATAAACTATAGGTAACCTCCACATAACATGATGATCTTAAGATTCTGAGAACTGAAAAGCAAAAGGATTCTGGTGAAAATCTGACATCTTTTAGCAATTCAGAAGCCCTCCCCCACTTCTCTGCCCCACTTCGGCACTTGCTCCGATACACCACACGAGCTCTTCCTTAAGGGATGTAAAGAAGTACCGTATTTTTCGCTCTATAAGATGCACCTGACCATAAGACACACCTAGTTTTTAGAGGCGGGATCCATGGAAAGCTTCCTGATAATCACAGGCACATTCCCCATCACTTCCCCATGGGCTTCATTAAAAGACGGGTTGCCACTTGAAAACACACACCGACCTGTGATTAACAGCTCTCACCTGCGCCGGGGGAGGGGGGCGGAGCAGGGCACACCGAGCACGTGCCAGCCAGGTGTGGTGCAGCCGGGCCGACAGTGTGCCGGCGGTGGTCTTCCAGGCGGCGGGGCAGTGGCAGGTCTTCCCGGGCGGTGGGGGTGAGCAGTCCGTCTCGCTGTGCGGCCAGCGGGTTAAAGCCCGCGGCTCCTCCTCCTCCGCACCGCTCCCCCTGAGCGGCACAGCTCTCACCTGCGCTGGAGGGGGGGGCAGAGCAGGGCACACCGAGCGCGTGCCGGCCAGGTGGTGCCACATGGGGCAGCTGGGCTGGCAGTGTGCCAGCGGTGGTCTTTTGGGCGGCGGGGCTGCGGCAAGTCTTCCTGGGTGGTGGGGGTGAGCAATCCATCTCTCCGTGCGGCTGGAAGGTTAAAGCCCGCAGCTCCTCCTCCTCCACACCGCTCCCCCTGAGTGGCACAGCTCTCACCTGTGCCAGAGGTGGGGGGTGGAGCAGGGCGCACCGAGCACGTGCCAGCCAGGTGGTGCCACGTGGTGCAGGTGGGCCTGCAGTGTCCTGGGCATCGGGCACACACACATTCACTCTATAAGACGCACAGACAGTTCCCCTTACTTTTGAGGGGGGAAAAGTGCGTCTTATAGAGCAAAAAATACGGTATTTCTACGTACATGCATAAGTGTGGCCTTCAGGGGACACTCATGTACCTGGGTCAGTCTGAAGCTTAGTTTGATTTGAATAGCGGATGCCTTGTGTAATCTGAAGCCAAAAAGAAAGCCAGTATTAGCTAGGGTCTATCCCAGGTAAATTCAGTTCTGATTGGTTGGGGATTCTACCTAGCTGGAAAAGAACAGAAGGGA